TAATGGACGTTGAGATTGAATACTGTTCGTTATTTCCATATCCTTATTGTTGAACTCATTTCCGTGAGACTGAGGGCCTTAAAACTAAGTTTTTGCACAAAGTACAGTCGCGCTAAGTCGAGGAAAGTACTCATTCAGTGACGGTGTACTACTTTATTATTTGGACTGAGCGGTCTTGATTGATTTATTATTAATTTCTCCGTAATCACCACATTCCAAACTTTCAATACTGTGAACCGCTATGTTCAAACCACAGGCCTTTAGATCGCTAAGAAAAAAAATTGTGGTATTGAAAAAAAAAGTTACACACAAAATTTTTTTAAGCGATCCAAAGGCCTGTGGATCAAACATTTAGAGATAAATGATGCCAATTTAAAATAATAGTTGTATAATTAAAGCAGTTAAATCTTGATTTCTTGTTTTTGGGATGTTTGCAAAATGTCAGTAGGAGTGAAAAGGGCTTTGTACTCAATGTTTTAATTGTTCATTTATGCGGTCTCTGATAGGATAATGATTGAGAGCAGGGATCGTTGTATTGTGGGACTCCTTTTCCATGAATCCACGTGCTTTAAAACTAATTATAAGTTTCTGTACAAAGTTAAGTCGCAACCAGTCGTAGAAACGACCTTTTGTCCAATAACGGTGTACTTGAATGTGGGGGTGGGTTCAGACATAGAATTGTATTTCTTCCTTCTTCGACAGCTCCAAGCTCTTTAATTTCCTGACATAAATCTCGGGTGTATACCGAATGGAGTTTAAGAAAAGGTGTCTGTTTGGGTAGCATTGGTTGTTTGATTGGCCAAGAACTCCAGTCTAAAGTAGTCGGCAGATTGTTGTTGACCATCTATACATAAAATAACGAAAAAGTATAATTGATTGATTGTATACTGTTTAACGTCCCTCTCCAGAATATTTCACTGATATGGAGACGCCACCATTGCCGGTGAAGGGCTGCAAATTTGGGCCTATGCTCGGCACTCAGGGCCATTGAGCAGGGAGGGGTCTTTATCGTGCCACACCTGCTGGGACATGGGGCCTCGATTTATACGGTCTCATCCGAAGGACCGCCCCATTTAGACGCCTTTTACGACAAGCAAGGGGGTACTGAGGACCTATGCTAACCCGGATTCTCACGGGATACGAAAAAGTATAAATACACTTGCTTTATCCATTAAGCAAACGTTGTCTTTTTTACTGGTTACGAATTGATGATTTTACCTTTTATATATATATATTTCCAGAATTTTTTGCACTTTAAACCCATTGGTTATCATTTGTAGATAGGGTCACTCGTGGTCATGAGGCGACCACTCTTTAACCGTCTCGTAACGTTGGTATTTTTTATAAATGACGGCTTTTTTCATTCTCCCCCTCCTTAGCCTGCTGGAATGACTTACTGAGGCTTACTGCGTATTCATATTCTTCATGCAGCTTTTTCCGGGAAACTTTGACATTATATCTCAAAAGAATAAAGTGCAACACCACAGCATGATACGCCCGTCAAAAATATTACAATTATCCTCGACAGATTAGAGTGCAAGAAAATTATGTGAAGATTTCCTTAATTTTTTTTTTCATTCCTTAAGAATATTTTAACCATTCCCTGTGGTGTAGGCAATGATTATAACAAATATTAAATTATTGATAGAAGTCTGTACTTGTCAAATGCCCATCATATAAAACAATACTTGTATCACATTAATCTTAACAACCTAATCTATACCAAATTAATTTTGGAATAAAAGGCTAGCCATCGAATGACATAAGCTATAACTTGATCAAGCGTTCTTCTGTCTAATTCCCATTGTAGGAATGTTATAGCATATGTCATTTCACATCTTTGCGAAGAGTTTGTATTTATATTTAGGAAACAACTCCTTTCGTTTTGTTATCATTTCTGTGTAACAATATGGAGATAAGTCGTTAACATACACGGTTATAGATTCTGGTGCTAATGGTAAGTCTGTCTGAAAATCACTGAAGTTTTATGGAAAGCTGTCTTCGATAATATACCAAAGTAGGTACGTTTGTTTGTTACAAATTTGCGCAGATAAAACTGTTATGCTTTTTATGTATGATAGTTTGTTAGATGATACTGAGGATGTATTTTCATACGAATATAGTAACTTCTTACTTCACACAGTTGTCGTTCTCCTTCATTGCACAAAATCTGTTTCACCACGAGTACCCGGTTATGGTGAAAATGTTATTCCACTATTTTCTACAGACAAATTTTGGTATCATTATCGTATAAGCAAAGAAATGTTCGAGGAAATACTCAACAATATTGGTACCTACCTCTAATCTAACTACGGTGAAGCATTGAATTCAGGATGCATTGCAGTTGATTCAGAAGGCGGCGCAGACGGAGAATCAAATATAAGTTTGTAAGTTTGTAAAAAGATTCCATAGTGTCTGAATCTGACTACCTCTCAAAAGATTTTTACCAGATTGTAAACATGAAAACTATGAAGGGAGAAATCTTGCAGTTTATTTCAGTTAAAACCTAAGAGATCTCAGTTAATTAATATGTATAATAAGTTAAGCATTTATAATGTGTGAAAACTTTTATGTCATACCACGCTCCTGTATTGAAAAATATAAGACCTTACTCCGTAGGAGCATTCAAAGATGTTCCAAAATCCTTGGACCTAACGCAAGTATATTCCTGTCCTGTGTTTCTCCTCACTTTGATTTTAACTCTTAATTTAAACAGAGCATAAAAATTCAGTACTTCACCAGATTAAGTTTTAAACAGTGAACAGAAAATAAAATATCTCACTTTAAAATGACATAACAACTTGCAAGTAATTTGAAAATTGGAAACCTGTGATGATTTTTAACATTGTATTTTTTAAATATTTTTCAAATTGTTGTGAAGTCTCATTAAATTTATTCTATAATAAAAAATCTTAATTGTGATAACACTTTCCACATTTGTCAGCGGGCATACTTTCCATCAGCACAGATCTTATATTTTGAAATATCCAGCTTATTGTTGTTCTATCGCAATATTTTTGTCTCGAATTACACAGGAAAAACCGACCTGGATACGTATATACCTGACTGTCTTCTAAAGAGAATATAATCGATAAAAATAAATTAGCATACCTGTATAATTAATTGAACCCATCTCAATTTCACATAATGTTCACGATATTTCCTTTTAAACTCCATTTTACGCACCTTTGTACATGCCGTCTGACCCAAATTCTCTTTACACATGATCAATTCGGACCAAGTTACTTCATGTAAATCGGTGTGTGACGTAAAACGTCATCGGTGTGTGATAATGTACAAATATGGGCCCGCCATATTAGCGCAAACCATGACAGTTAAACGCTCTTTGCTGTTCTTGCCACCATGGCAATCTACCCCTTTAAACTCGAGAGTTTTGTCGGGGAGTAGACGAAAAAACAGTCCAGTTTCATCGGCATTGAAGATGTCACTGTGACTATTCGCCTAAGAGGGTCTGAAGAGTAGAAGACCACTCCGTCATTTGATCAGTGCCCTCATTTACAGCTTTTGATTCGCCGCACACACGCTTAAAAGTTATGTTATAGCGCTCTTTGAAGCGCTCGAGCCAACCAGTGGTACACTTGAAAACTCATCGCCAAGCTGAGAAGCGAACTCCTGTGCTTTAGCGATGAGAAGGGGCCCGGACACTGGAACGTTCTGGTCTCTGGCTGTCTTGAACCTTTGTAGAACTGCTTGGTCTGTATCTTTGTATATCGCCGTTCTCATCTTCTTCCTCTGTGGCCCGAATGCGCTCTGTTTGTAGGCAACTTTGATCTTCTCGGCATTCTTTATCCACGTTGATAGGATGTTGGGGGGGGGGGTCTCATACTTTGTTGCAATGGCCGCTTTACTCTCTCTTCCTTTTTCAACATCAGCGACACCAACCACCCAAGCTATCATGTGTCATAGATAACCCTTATAAGCTTGGGATAAATTAAGATACGACAGGGTTTTGTAGGTGTCAATTAATTGCCACTGGCGAGACTGTGTGAAGTTACGACAACAGGTGTGTTTAGTAGACCGGAAAATTCACTGCACTTCGAGATAAGCCAGGTAAAATTCGGTTTTGGGACTTTCAATATACTTCGACATAAGCGGGGTATTCGAGATTACCGTGTTCGAGATATCAGTAGTTTTTTTTTATCATATACAGTGGACTTTAGATATCCGGACCCCAGATATCCGGATGCTTCAGTATCTGGACGATTTTTGATCGGGACGGATTTTGTAAATGTTAGAAGGTTTTGTTGACTGGTGATTAAGGTATCCGGACGCTTTATATATCCGGATAAATCAATTAGAAACCAAAGTGTCGGAACAAATGATCGTTTTGTGTTGTCATTGTGGCTGTTGTGAGTTCTGAAAAATGAGAAATTAAAATATCTACAAATCATAAAACGTGAAAGTTTTATCCCAACTGCCTTTCACCTTAAACTGGGAATGTAATAAATTTAATGAATAAGTGAAATATTGAATATATGTAACATAGCAGGACAGATAGGTTCATCTGATACAAAGTCGCAAGGCATTGTGTCTTTTCCTGGGAAAAATCAGATCAAAGATAAAAAATTTTGCAACCTTAGGTAAAATCTTGTGGTTTTGATTGGCTTGAACTGACAGTGGGCGGAGTTTTCCCACGGCAAGTGTATATGATTACATCAGCTAGACTCATTCGTAACTACTCGGCCATTTTCCGGAAGAGAAATAGTTATTTATCGTTCACGGAAATGACTGAGTAGTTACGATTACAATCAGGCTCTATTTTTGAAAGGGGGGGTATTTAAGGAATGCATTAGTTTTACTTGATTTTAGTAATATTTTCCGAAAAAGGGAGATGAGAAATAAAGAATGTACATATACCTGGACATTGAAGACTTTCGTTGGTGTAGTCTAACATGACAATTTCCTTTACATTAAGATCACCAGTAAAATTATTTTAAAGGAAAAAAGGAAAGAAAATATGAATAATTTAAGTTCGTTTGTATCAGATAAGCGAGTGAAATAGAAATGGGTTGAAATGAATGGAAAAATTTGATACTGTCGTCAAATGACATGATGAAATTCGTTTAACTGATTAAGTTTGACATCATTAATGAGATAATCTGGAAATATCATCGTACCGACCCGTATGACTGTGAAAAATATGTCAGGTTACAGTGATCTCATTAGAAGGTGATGGTTTCAAAATTCGTTACACCCTCTTGCTATAGTAATTGTATGAAAAGTTATTTTTAAAATATCTACCCAAACAATGAAAAGAATCACATGGTTTTTCTTATAAAAACTGAGGGAAACACCTCAGAACTTCACTCTGGTTCTAATCAGGATGGCATCATACAAGTAAGTGTATTTTAATTTAAACTTGCGCGATTTTTTTTTTTTAAAGAAAACTACTTTATTATTTCTTTTTTTTAAGTTGCACTTGTGAGAAAAGAGAGGAGATTTTAAAACTCCTGAATTATATCATGGAAGATATAAAAACTATGGAGTGTCCGTGAGTTATTATTTTTTTTTTGTTTTGTTTTGTTTTTTTTTTTTTTGTTACCGTTTTTCTGCTTATTTTTTATTTTAATTTTAAATTAAATCAGTATGAATCATTTACTTGAGATGTGAATATTTTTTTTTAGAATGGCCTTACGTTTACATAAGAGGAAAACGTTTTTCAGGTATTGAGATTATATAATTACGTGTGAAGAAATTTAGTGTTTTTTTTGTACTCGCACTTTATTAATTTTTATAATTTATTAATTTTTTTTACATTTAGTCTGTAAATTTTATTTCAGTACGCCTGATGTTTCGTGAGTGTATTAATTTAATCCTTACTTTAATAATTTCCTCATTTCTATTTATTTTTTACGTACTTAACGAGAAAAAAAAGGGGAAACAAAAATTAATTTTGTTTTAAATATTTTTTATTAGTCCGGTGGGGAAAAAGTCCAACAGAAATGGGTTAGTATATTACAAGAGTATTTCTAATCCCTTTTTTTTGGAAAAAAATAAAATTACGCAGAAAAAAGGATCACAAAAGTATTATTAAAATATAGTCAGATAGATAAATAGTTAGATCATACAAATAGATATCTTTTTTTTCCCTTTTAGACCGCCGAACGCACCACGACGTCCGCCGTTCGTATTTTATACTTTTCTTAAAAAAAAAATTATTTGGATTCCTTTAAGCTAATACATAATTTTCTTAAACGTTTATTTCTTTATTAAATATATATACATATGGATTTACTTTATCTTTCATTTACTGATTATTGTAATGATTTATTTTCAGCCGTCTTGTGATGGAGATCATAAGCGTAGAAGAGTAGGTTTTCTTTTTTTAACGTCAAGTGTAATAATCTTATAGAAATTATATGTAGTCTGACGGTATTGAGAAAATGTTATTATTATTTTATAGTTCGGATAGTTTGGTGCAACTACTGAACGATAGCACCTTTGAGGAGGAACAGTAAGCAAATCTCTCTCTCTCTCTCTCAGCTACTGACTTAACTACTCAAATACAGTAAACATTACTTTAAAAAACATTTCAGAAACGAGTCAATGACGGTAGAAGTTATGGAAAAAAAATGAGGAGAAAAATGAATGTGAGTCTCTCTCCCTCTCTCTCTCACCCACACACTCCGTCATACATATACATATACATCCTCTCTCTTTCTCTCACACACACACACCCACACATACGTGTTTGGACTTCGATCTGGGGACCCTGCCAAAAAATCTTAAAATGGGGACTAAGCGATTTCGTGGCAGAATTGGTATTGTTTAACTTATTTTACCCCGTAAGTATCCTGGAATAAGTAAATAAACTGAGTCTTTGAGCTAGAATGATATATTCATAAATTTAGAAAATGGGGACCCGGAAGTGCCAATATGGGGACCTCTGTGTAAAGGTAGGGGACCCAACTTCTCATAAGCTTACAGAATTGGGGACCTTTACTCAGTCCCTCATACACAAGGAACAGAAATGGGGACATATTTATAAATTTAAGTTTGGAAGATGGTTGGACATGTTTATTTATTTATTTATTCCGGCGCGGATTCAGGGATTTCTCAATGTGGGAAAGGGTTATCCTTAGTCCAAAAATTTCCAATCCAGAAATTCCTTAATAAGCAATAACAAATGAAAATAAAAAAGAAAAAAAACATGTTATATCATTTCCCAAACGTTTATAAATAATCTATTTCTATGCGCTGTTGGTGGGGTTTACGTTTTTTTAAAGGAATGAGGTGGATGTGTTCAAAAGACATTTTTTTGCTTCACTATATATACATAAGGAAAACGGCTTCTTAAATTTACCCTTTACATTTTATTACGGCTCCACAGCACCACTATTTTGTTATACCTGCCAACATCCCTTCTCCCCCGTTTACGCAAAATAACGGATTTAGTCCAGGAATCAGTTTTATAAATTATAGCAAAATCTCCCTGACTATGCATGTATGACCATGGAATTATTTTATTATATGTATATAAAAAAAATCTCAGTGACTCGATAAACCATTTATAGCGAAGCCCTGTAAGCACATGGATTTCCAGGTTTTTACATCAGAAAATTAACTCGAAATATTTTTTTTTATCTTTATACAATCGTAGTTCTACTAAATATTAACAAAAAAAATGCTGAGTTTTGACAAAACTTACAACTCCACTAAATCCTCTTTTAACAAAGCATTTCTTGTTTTCATGAATTAAGACAATACATACATCATTGTCAACAGTGGAATTCTTGCAATATATTTCGTCCATTGAATATAAGTGATATTTTTTTCACATGCAGTGTGAAAATAATAATAAGAAATGCAAAGTACTTAGGCTAGTATTACATGAAAGAACGTGTTTGCTTTAATGTGATCAATTTTAAATGATATTCCTCATATCAAACATTCAAAATTACATAATATGTGTAAAGTTGGCTTATTTTTCAAATATGTTTTCCTTATTGTAGCAGCTTTATATAAGTATATTCTTCACACATTATTTGACAGACTTTGCCTCAAAATAGACAAATAATACAACACTTAAGCTGTAAGCTTAAAGATATGTGTGCCGTGTTAAGCAGTATTTTTGCACAGCTGAAACCGAACAAAAATTTCTGAATTATGATAAGCTATCAAAAATTGAAGCATTCTTGAAAATTCGACGAAATATTATTCGGTATTAAAAAAGTACTGGTCCGGAAAAGAACACGATATTCTCATGCATATTTATAAAGGACTGACCGTTTATCCTGGATCTGCGCGTGTGCGCGGGAAAAGCATCGCGAGAAAAATCAGGTCGAGGAAAATATTTTTGTGACGTCTGATCAGTGAGGAACCAATATGACTGACAAATATACCAATCAGCTCAATGAGTTGCATTTAATGCATTTATGGGTTACTACATAAAATTCTACATGTGTTTTTCGAAAAGGCTAGTTTTTTAAAATCGCTCTCGGAAAGACTTGATGCATTTTCCCAAGCATTTACATGCTTAATACATTATGTACATTTATTATCTACTAATCCCATGCTCATATTTGCCTACAAATGATTAACAATGATAAAGATTAAAGTTTTCCCCACTCCATTGTACAGGTCCGTTTGTTTCGAGTTTCACCGTGCTGTACTGCTAGTGAAAAGACAATTGCACGTGATTATTCCTCGGTACAAAAAGCAACCAACTCTGAGGTGTGCTCACGTATTAACAATCCCTAACTCACGTGTTTGTAGTAAAAACGTAGTAGACCATTATGCTTTTCGGTTCATTCACGAGATTGGACCATTGTTTGCTGTGAGCATGCGAAACCACGTGATCATGAATATTTCAATAAGAGGCGGTTTATTATCCGTCTCGGAGAGAAAATAATTTTTACCTAATAATATTTCATAACTTTTAAAAGTGATGGAGTGGAATAGTCTTATTTGCAGAAAGTATATAACTTTTACCGTTACGACTTGATGAGACACCACCTATACATTTATTTCTTTTAAAATAAAACACTAATACGGCATATATCTCTTTAACTAACAATCCATAACAAACAGTCATACACTAATGTGTATGTGATCAATGAAGAACTGCAATGGTTACATTATGTAACTATAAGTTACATGCTATGCATTGTACCCCTATTAAAGACATTAAAAACCGCCCAGAAAAAAAAACATAGACGAGTAACTATGGAAAACATGTGCACGTCGCTATGTATAAATAATGCCTCAAGGGAGAATGCCGAACATGCATTCGGAGCAGTACATGGTATGCAGAAACACCATATATGTACATGTATAATAAAGCAAAATCAAATAATATGACAATATTGTTGTAATATTATTTATAGAAACGTATTCATTTGAATATAAATATAAAAAACACGTGTGTGTTCTGCGGAGCACTGGCTTGGAATGATCCAACACCTCACAAAATAACGCCTTCTCATTGGTCTTCCTTTGGCCACGCCTACCATAAACAGGCATTTCCAATAAAATACGTTTCTATCATACAATGCTTTCCCGCTATTCTACGAAACGCGGGAAAACTCTATCATACTATCGCAAAATGGCGTTGAAAAGTTCAATATAAATAGGGACCTGACCTATCCGGCCGGGCTTGTTTTTTTCTTTACAGAAAGCTTGTCGATTTCCGTTCCGATTTGTCACATTAGGCTGAATACATATATGTTACAATTTGTTTTTCATAAATCTTTATTTCACTTTCATTATTATTCTGAAATTTTTATCTCCAAACGTAATACATGTACTAGAAACTGATATTTTTCTTTACTACTCATTGTACTTTGTGGTAATATCTACTGTTTATGAAATGCTATTCTTTTGTCTAGTCTATTTATTTTACAACATATTTCCGTGGATATAATAAAAACATACCATTAATGTGAGCAAATTACATAGGCCTAAATGAAATCCAAGGGAGTACAATACTGATAGTGATAGATGTAGCCCTACTTTTTTCAAAATTAGAACATTGACCTAGAGCAAAAGTACATATAGCTTATTCTAAATATATTAAGCTCAAATAATTCAAGCAATACGTAACACACTACATGTAACCCAGACAAGCACCAGTAGCACAAATGGAATAAAAGCAATGTGATTAAATTCTAAGGAATACATACAATTGAAATTCATCGCCGCTCAATGCTGCAGAGAATACTTGTATCGAGTAACACAGAGTGAGTTGTTCTTGTCCTCGGAGAAAGTGAGCTTTTTTCTTAGGTTTGTTCCATCTGACTGACAACTGTACACTGGATTGTTACGAATTGATCTTTTTTGAGTGTTTCTTATATCAAGATAATGGGCATGCATAAGGGATAGCATCGTCTCAAACCACGGCCAAAATGTACGATCCTCTCCCATTCTGGAAAGAGCTATATACGGACTCCGGACCGTGGCTTGAGACGATGAAGGGATAGATGATTGAAGGAAAATATACAAGCCTGTAAAAATAATTTAAAATTATCTTTAAAAAGGCGAAAATTTCACAGTTAATAACTCAATAATTATTGCGTTTAATCGCTAAAATCATTGCATTTAAACGCATTAAAAATATTTCTTTCTCTGAACTGGCCTCAATGGGCTTTCGTAGGTTTTTCATAAATGCAAAAAAAAAAAAAAAAAACTATACACTGGTATATTCACTAAACTTATGAATATTTTTCATTGAAAATGCTGCTACATTTTAAAATTCATTGTTTAAAATTATAGTGCTAGTACAACGCAGTTAATTTAGGTGATTATTAGGGGAATTAGTAAAAAGCATCGTTTATTATTTGCTTTTGCTTTGAATGGATACAGTTATATCTGAAATTCGATCGTCATTGTTATTCTAATATTTCCATTTTTCTCTGTAATATCTGTTTGAAAGTTGGGGGAGATTATTTCTTGATAATTCTGCCGGAATGTAAATTAGGCAGGTCGATAGGTCAGCAGCTAAGGAGGCCTAATACGCATGCAAATCTCATGCGCATCTGTCTCTGTGTCTGACGCTAAGGAAGGCAAAATATGCATGTAAATCTCGTGCGGCTGCCTTTGTGTTTGACGTCAGTGTGCGAGGACTATGGAAATTGGCATGGAAGTCCTTGTGTAATTTAAATCTATTAGTCTACATTTTAAATGTCTAAGTCTTCAATTTTATTTCACAATGAAATGGAAATATAAGGAATCACTGTCTAGTTTGGAGAGTATGCCAGAGACATCAACAATAAGTGGGAAACATGGGTTTATTTTAGCATAGGGGGCGAAGCCCGTTATGCTAAAATTATCCCATGTTTCCCACTATTGTTGATGCCCTGGCATACTCTCCAAACTAGACAGTGATTCCTTTTTAAAAAAGTTTCTAAAACGATATAATTATACACTGTTTCAAAGATCTTAGGTTGAAGCTGAAAATATTATATTTCGTACGTATGGATAAAAACAATCTAGATTTTATAAAATAACCTAATTATGTTAATCCGTTATTGAACTTTCGACATGTTTTTTTTATTATTACTATTATTATTTTAATTTTCTTTTTTAAAAAATCTGTGTATTCATTTGTGTTGTTGCGTAAAGGGCGCTATGCCACTGCTTCAAATGTATTTTAG